ATCTAGGGGCTTACCTCGAAGCCAAACAAAGGTTTTGAAAATTTTCCGGCGAAACTTCCGGCGAGTATTTCTCCCAACTGCAGCGACTTCACACCAAATTGACAGCACCACAATACTCCTCACACTTTCATGAACATTTAGGAAGAAGAATGAAGAAGAATGGTGAAGAAATGAGAAGGTTGGGTTTTCTTATATAATGAGAAGGAGAGAAGAAGAAGAAGAAGAAGGTGACTCTGCGATCGGCGTAGTGGGGAAGGAGGCGCCGTCTAAACAGTTCCCTGATTGGGACCTATTTTGGTTCCAGTCGGGGTACACTTTTTGGTCCAACTTTCTCCAAATTGAAATCCGTTTGCACCGTTGCGATCAGACAGTCGAGCTCTATCCAACGATATACTTTTCATAATTATTTGTAATACTTTTTCCGACATCATATTTTTGGGTGTTTGACTTTAACAGAGTCAAAATTGGTTTAATTGACCTTTCTCATAAAAGGTTCTCTCATTTAATTCATATCAATTATTCTCATGATTTATTTCAATAACTCATTACAAAGTTCACATCATAATTAATTAATTTATTTATTCTTGATTTGGATCTGTACTCAGGTTCCCAATCAAGACCACACAAATAGTCCACATATTGGATTTATCTCGATTAGACTTATCCAGATTTTGATATTGGATATTAAAAAATATTTCATATCGGCCCAAAGCCCAATAATAATCAAAACAAATTTGTTTAATCGAATAATTATTTAATAATATTTCTAGGGTATGTTTCGGGGCGTTACATACTTAATCCTTCTTCATTTTTTTACACTGAGGACAGTGTAAATTTTAAATGTGGGGGAGTGGGTAGATAAAACTTGATTATTTATATGCATTTTCAAGTGATAAAAGAAAAAAAAATTTGCTTTTCATTTTTTTGTTTTTTTTAAATTAACGTGAGTTAATTTAATTTAAACAAAAGTTTACAAAAGAAGTTGTAAAATATTTTGGTCTTTTTGGTTTTAAAGATAAAATAAAAAGTGTAAAAGAAGAGAGTTCCAAACAACACAAAGTTTTTGATGATGAAAAGTTAGGAGTAGAAATTGGTAAATTAATTGTTAATTTTTAATTGTTAATATTTTATAAAAGTTGGATTGTTAATTTATTTTTATATAGAATGTGTGGTGTTGCAGAAAAGTATTTAGGGACGCTCTCGCAGTTCACCTAAATAATAATTACTCCGACTTTAACACGCTAATGATAAATCCGGAGTGATTATTTAGTAACAACGGCAAACATAATTATTTTATTGTATGTTTACCCAATTTAATGGTGTAAAAATACAACTCAATAATTATGTCCACGCGAAAGTCTTCAATCCCGGTTAAAGGTAGAGAAGGCTTACGGTATAATTAAAAAGTGTTCTATTTTATGATTATATCAATTTTAACTCATATTCCTTGTAACAATTATGTTTATGATTGGGCCCTTAATAATCACAAACATTCCAAATTTATTTATTTTTAAATACAACATCTAAGTAAAAATAAAATCAACAATCCATGTTAAAAATATTTAAAACATTAAGATGGACAAATTAATTACACCAACTTCTAACCCCAATGGAATTTAGAAGTTCATAGTTTGAAGCTTAAACAAATAAATTTTCATTACAAACATAAAAATCATACAAAATGGAAGGTGTGTTCTTGAGCTCCAAATATAATAGATGATGATGAAGATGGAGTAATTTTTATGTGTTTGGATGAAGAAAGTGGTGAGATATTAGTGAGGGAGGAAGAGAATTTCGAAATGGAGAGGGGAGAAAATGGGATTTCCAACCTCTTTAGAAGAAAAGAAGGGAGGTGTTTTTATAGATGAATCTGTATATACGGATTATATACAAACAGTGCACCAATTGTCAACACAGGTACAGTAGCCCACATGGAAATGAGGCTGTTTGTCTCGCCACTTGATCCCGTGTTTGATTCCCCATCCAGTGTCGATGTTTTGTCATTTTTCTCTCAAATCATGGCCGAATTTAAATTCAGAACATTGTCCGTGTCCGCCAGCAATATGCCGAATAGTATGCTTTGGCGCGATGGTCAGAGCTCAGGTTCCACATGCGCACGTCCAGAGTTCGAATCCCAATCCCAGGGCTGTTTTATGCGCTTTATTTTTGTTTAATTCCTTCCTTCCTTCAAATCTCTTCCATTTATTTTGGTCCCAAACTTCCATGTTTATTTTCCGTTCTTGAAATTGTTCTTAATGCGTCCAAATGGCCTCAAAATACCTGCAAAATATATAAAACCAAGCATAGGCTGCTCTCCCAAAATAAAACGGAAAATTGAAATAAAATATAAATATTAAATTCAATTGGGACTCAAAACTCCTTCAAAATATGTCTAAAAAATGTATAAAATATGTGCATATCAGGGGTCAAACAAATGATAGGTGAAAATTTTTCTGAATATTGGGAGAGATTTAACAAGCTTTGTGCTTCATGCCCACAACATCAAATTTCTGAACAATTGTTGATTCAATATTTTTATGAAGGACTCCTCCCCACTGATAGGAATAATGTTGATGCTGCAAGTGGAGGAGCCCTTGTTAACAAAACCCCTACTCAAGCTAGGGAGCTTTTTAACTTGATTGCTCAAAACACCCAACAATTTGGAACAAGAGAGACACTGGTTAAAAAGGTCAATGAACTTGAAAGTAAATCAATTGAACAAAAGCTTTCTGAACTCACCTTTATGATGTCAAAACTTGTTTTTAGGGGTGGGAATGTTAGGGGAATCCATTGTGGAGTGTGTTGTCTAGAAGGGCATGCAACTAATGCTTGTCCAACCCTTCAAAATCCTGAAGTCAATGCTGTTTTTTATAATAATCAACAAAGAAAATATGATCCATATTCAAATTCTTATAATGAGGGCTGGAAGGATCATCCAAATCTCAGATATGGCCCTCCTCAAAACAATACTCAGAATTTTAATCAAGCAAATAGGGGAAATCTGAATTTAAATCATCAACCTAGCCAAGATAGAAGTTCCCAGATGCTTGAACAAATTCTCAAGAAAATGGATGACAAGTTTTCAAGTTTTGATTCAACTCTTAAACAAGTTCAAGAAAAACAAACAGCTACTGATGTGATAATAAGCAACTTGCAGGCTCAAATGAATCAAAGAATCCCTTCTCAGCCTTTTCCAAATCCAAAAGAAAACATAAGTGCTGTGGTTTTAAGGAATAAGAAACAATTGCCTGAACCTAAGGGTAGGGATAGGTTTGAGAGTGAGAAAGAAGTACCTAAAGTTGTGAATCTTGAGTTAGATGAGGCTACTGTTCCAAACTGCAGTTCTCATGGGGCTGAAACAGTGGGAGAAACACCTGGGAATGACACCACAGACCAAGGGGAAAGGGTAGAAGACATGGTCAGACCTAAAGCTCCCTTCCCGAGTAAGTTCCTTAGCCAAAAATCTAGGAATAAAGACTTAGATCATGAACTTTTAGATACCTTTAAGAAGGTAGAGATCAATTTGCCCCTCTTAGAAGCCATCAAAGAAGTGCCTAAATATGCAAAATTCTTAAAAGAGCTGTGCACTAATAAGAAAAGACTTTCGGGGAATGAAAAAATCCAAATGAGCGAAAATGTTAGTGCTGTTTTTCAAAATAAAATGCCTCAAAAATGCAAAGATCCTGGGGTTTTTTCTATACCTTGTCAAATAGGGAGTCTTAAATTTGATAGGGCAATGCTTGATTTAGGTTCTTCTATAAATGTAATGCCAAAAGATGTTTTTGAACAACTACACATAGGAGATCTTAAGAGAACACGAGTGGTAATCCAATTGGAAGATAGAAGTTACACTTATCCTGAAGGGATTTTGGAAGATGTTTTAGTCCAAGTAAATGATTTTGTTTTCCCTGCTGATTTCTATATTCTGGATATGGGAACAGATAAAACCGACATTCCCATTCTCTTGGGAAGACCATTTTTGAAAACTGCAAGAGCTAAAATTCATGTCCACGGTGGGACTTTAACAATGGAATTTGATGGAGAAATAATAAACTTTAATCTTTTTCAAGCAATCAAGTATCCAGATGAAGGTGACCAAGTTTTTTCAATAAATCTGATTGACGAGTTAGTCGAAGAGGTTTTTATTTTAAATAAGGAGGATGAACTTTTAACTGTTTTGACTGAGAGTCTTGATCCTATTTTTCTTCAAAATCATGGTTTTAATACTCCTGATGAGGTATATTTTTATGCTGAAAATCTATCCACTTTTGAAGAAGTAAAATCAGCCTTACAACTCACTTTACCAATTAAAACCACCAAAACAGCTCCTTCTTTAATTTCTCCACCTGAATTGACTTTAAAAGAACTCCCCGA